CGCAGTGGGCGTGAGGGGGGGGGGGGGGGTGAAAAGAGGCGGTGTCGGCCTGGGCCTGCGCCCCGGCAACCCGTACCGGCGTCGTCACCCGCGGGGAGCAGGTGAGGACAGCCTCTCCGGGGCTGGGCGATGCTGCGCGGGCCCGTGGTAGTGGCTCCCCGGGCTGCGTGAGCCCTCTTTGTGGGGTCTGGCCCGGCCCGGTCCTTGATAGCGGCTGGCGGCGGTGGCGCTCCTAGGCTGGCTCGGGGGTCGCCGCGTGGCCGCTGCCTGCAAGCAGCTTTCTGCTGCTTCCTTCCCGCCCTGCCGCAGGTGATCTTCCGGGTCCGCCATCCCAGGCGGGCCGGCAGTCGCCTTCGGCGGGTGCGTGTCTGTGACGGGGGAGGGTAGGGGTGTCCCCTCTCCAGAGGGGAAAGCAAAGCAGTCAGCGTGGTTGCGGCGCAGAGGGTGGAAGTGAGGTGTGTCATGCACTTATGTTTAAATTAGGACTGTTCGGCTTTTACACCCGGGGTGTGTTAGTCAGGTGCCCAGGAGGAACATCCGAGTAACAAGGAGTGCTTGGACTCTTCTGGCACTGAGAGGTTGTGGTCAGTTTTGTGGGGTGCAGGATGTCGCAGAGCCATTCCGGATGTAACTGCGGAACGTGTATGGAGGTTCGCGCCCACACTTGCGCTCTGTTTTATCCGTGATGAGTTGGTGATTGCTGAAGACGTTGCAGCCTAAAGTGGCTTTAGATTTATCCCCAGTGGCTGTTTGGTAAGAAGCCTGAGGAAGATGTAGTCTGTTTTTGTGCTTGTTGACTGATATGTGTGTCTTGCTTTCTGATTTCCCATAATCTACAAATAAGTGACTATTTCCCTGTTTCTTGGGGGGCTGGTGCTGTCTTCCTTTTAGTGGGAGAACTAAAGCACTTTAAGAAAGGGTGATATACTCCATAGCTAATGTGTTGTGCAGCACAGAAGATCCAGGTGTTTCTGGAGCAAATGCCAAGCACAGTGCTCTTCAGTCTATTAATTAGGATAGTACTGCTGTCACAGAAGCAATTACTGTGTGGTTTCTTTTCCCTTGAAGCTAAAGTTTATTTTTCCAGAATCACATATATGATGTATGCAAGCTCAGAGACTTCCTTGGTTTTTTTTGTCTTGCCAGGTTATAGCCAGTTGTTGAGATATGAACATAACTTCCTAGAAAACTTCTGGCTGACTTTATAATGGCATTTTTTAATGTGGTAGTGTGTGTGGGAACACAGTCCTGTTGTACATTCAACATTTAAAAAGCAAGTTATCAGTTGTCTTAAGTGTTGAAGAAACAATTCCAAATTTACCTGAAGATATGCTCTTGAAGGCATTTTCCATGAACTCTGGTGTTTAAGCATGTTCAAAACATCAGTTGTTTGAATCATATTGCTGAAATGCACAACAGCAAAAAGTACCGTGGCTTACGTGGGAGAGGGAAGCATTCCAGACTGAGACTCAACCTGACATAAAGAACCTGACCAAAGTTACTCCTGAAACTTTGTGAATGATGTCTTTTTTCTTTCTTAAGGATATGTGAATGTCAGGAGAAACTGAGCTAAATGTGCTTACTATACAGAGCAACAAGCAAAAGTCCACTGAGAAGTCACATGATTGACTTGCAGATACCATCTTTTGTGCATTCATTGTAGGAGTGGTCAAACCTTGCCACATGAGCTGCATGCAGCTTGTTAGCACTTCCAGTGTCACTTGTCAACCATGTGGATTTTCTCTGGACTACGTAGATTTTTATTGTGGCTTCTTAGAACTTGGAAGAAAATGTCCTAGTCAGTAAAATACGCCTGTAGAGTCTAGGGAGCAGTTGTGAAAACTGGAAACTAGTATTTCATGAAGGAGCATTTATTAGCTGCTAAGCAGGAAGTAGGCTTATAGAGGGTTTTGATCCTTGGCACAGGTAAAAGTCAGCTGTCCCTCGTAGCTTCCATTAGTTCCCCGTGTTCCTGCTCTGTCAAATGTTTCACTAAGTCTTGATTAAACAAAGATGAAGGTAGTAAGCACCTTAGCCTTGCAGTCTAGAAGTGCAGGCTTAGTGAGGCAGAGTGGCAGAAATCAGGTGTGTATTGAGGTTAAAGAATATGGGCTGTGAGGAAGTATGACTCTTGGCTGTATGAAGGCTTTAGTACACAGCAACTAGGCTTAATAAGTATGGCTTCCCCTAATACAGAAGGTGGTTTGTTTTGTTTGTTTGTTTTTCCTTGATGTAGCTACTCTTGAAAACAAGGAAGTTTGGAGGTGTTAGATATGACAACAAATAAACCACAGTTTGGGTTACTTTCCTGGTAACTTTCACAAGGCCCTGTACTGTAGTGCAGAGGGGAAGGAAGCAGTGTCCACCAAACTTAATCTTTCAGTCCTGCTATTGTTTGCAGTTCTTTCTATTTCTCATTCTGAAGTTAGCCTGGCCAGATGATGAGTATGTCTTGCGCTTGCTGAGGCATGCCCGTCTTCAGTTTTCTTGTTACAAGGGCTGCAGAAGTCACGGCACTGACAGCTTTTCTCTTGAGCTGATGTTAAAACTTTGTGGTACGCATGCAGAGTCTCCATTTGAAAACTTTAAGTTCCTTTAAAACAGCAACTGGAGTGTGTTATCAGACAGAGTAGTGGCTGTCCACTTACTTTGATTGTTCTGGATGTTTAACTAGGAGCTCTGAGTTGCTCTCTGCAGAGATGCTGATCTCTTGCCAATGACAGGCAGGGGACATGGGCTCCTAACTCTGGCACTCTTGACCTGTGCTAATAGCAGATGTCTGTGGTAGGTGGGTGAATGTCCCCACTCTAGCATCTAATGAGACACCTCCTCTTCAGTTGACTGAAGATGTTTTGTTTCAGCACCCTGTGTATAATGCACATTGCTGAACTCTTTCCAGGGCACGTGAAATGGCTGCAGATGACAAACGGTCTCCGACACTGGACTCTACTGGTGATCTACCTCATTCTCCTAGTAGTCCGTCTCACCTCACTCACTTCAAACCCCTGACTCCTGACCAGGATGACCCTCCTTTTAAATCAGCCTACAGCTCTTTTGTAAATCTCTTCCGTTTCAGCAAAGGTAAGTGCCTGGGGCAACGTGTGTGCATGGATTGTGCGTGATGTCTGCTTTATTGATGCCCTCTGCTGCCACATAAACTTGTAAAAACACCTCTGAATATTACAAGCATAATGTCAGATGGCTGGCCAAATGGATGGTGAGTCAGTTCTTTTGTGAGGGATGTTGCATCTTGCTTTTGGGTGACATAGTAGAGCTTTGCTGTGGGAGAAGATAGCCAGCATCTTGCAGCTAGAAATCTGTGGCTGCCCATGAAGGTCAGAGACAAGCCATTTAGCAGATAGTATTGTATAGCTTCTTAGCTGGGCCTCTGGATTTCCTTTGCCTGTATGAAGTTTTTGGGGCTAAAAGCGGGAGTAGCCCTCTGCCAGCCTATATGAGCAAAATGTGTGCCTGTCCTTCCAATGCAAGTTCTTACTCCAGACTTCCTCCACTCCTCACCTTCCTGTGCATCTTATACCTTCAGCTGGGAGGCAGCTGAGCTGTAATAAAGTGGTGTATTTACAGGAAGCTCACCCTTAATTTGCATGGCTTAGCTGTTCCCCATCAAGAGGTCTGAAGTGTTGTGAAAGTTTTGTATATTAAAAAGTACTGCTTGATTTTGGCCTTTGTGTTACATGTATCATGAAACACTTATATTCTCAGTAGGCAAGCTCTTAAAGACCTATGTGAGTTTCTTTTTTGTTTCAAAGAAATACACTGCAAGGAGTGGTGAATGAATGCACCTTGGTTTTGTACAAAAACTGTATATCTCTTTGCTGGAGATGGCAAACTGGTCAGCTGCTTTTGTTTAGTCTGTTCATTATTCAGCTCTGCTAAGCATATTTCTGCGATGTTTGGGCTAGAGAAAAAGAGCCAAGATAGCTTTTTGCATAAGCAAGCTGATCTGTTCAGACTCTTCTTATGCAGAATGAAAAGTAATTACTTGGTATGACTGCTATTAGTTTGCATAGCAGAATATTACCTGTCATTATTAATTTATTGAAAGTAACATAAGATGTGGTCAATATTGGCTTCACTTGTTTGTCTCTGACAAATGTAGCTGGAGTCAGCAAAGCATTGTTTTGAAAGAATGTGAAAACAACCTTGAAATGGCACATGAAATGGGCATATTACTGGAATCGGTGAGAACCTGTCTATACTTGATCCTCTGATGGAAAAGGGTGGTTTATTAAAGGCTGCGGTAACTTTAATGTGACCTCTGTACTGGCTTCTAACATGACTGAAAAACTCTTTTCAGGGCAGAAGCTGATAATCAAGCATAGCTACTCCATATAGCAAGAATAATTGATGCTTACTGATTTTTTTTTTTTAAACACTTTTCACATTAGGGACATTTCTCAAATACCCTGAGCCTTGACAGACAAGTTTTACATACTGGCCTGTTTCCATGTTTTGTATGGTACTTTTCAGACTAAAAATTCATGTCTTCTGTTATGTATAATTATGATCCAAATGAGCTATTTGAGAGGTTTTTACCCTTTAGTTTTGCATGCACTGTTTTTCTTTATCATGTCTGAACAGTCGGTTTCTTGCTTTTTGTCAACTACAGATGATGGCAGGCTTTCATCCCCGGCAGAGAGAGCAGAGGCAGGACAGAGCGATCCACAGGTGTTGAGCAGTGGCTGGTCCAGTCCTCAGCATCCCACCAGGGCTCAGTCTCTGAGGTCACCGGTTCCTTACAAAAAGCAGCTGACTGGTGAGCTGCAAAGAAGATCTTCTACAACCCTGGGTAATTTCAACTCTTTGTGCTACATGGGAATGTTGTACTAGCTGGTCTGGGATGCTTCAGAGTGAGGTGGAAGGAGGTGAACAAAGGTTCACTGACTGTCTAGATTGATGGCAGAATTTGGTATCAGGCTACGCTGCTTCTGTTAGTGAGGTTGCACTTTAACTTCAGAAGTGTGTTCCCTCTACCCATCTTAGTGTTCCAGCAAGACACTGTTGTTGGGGCTCTGCTGTTTCAATTATGAAACAGTCTGGAACAGAAGAGGATGCCAAAACACATCCAATGTCTTAAAGTCACTTGAACCTTGATCCTGAAAATTTCTGCTTTGTCTTGAGAGACTTGATTTGCTTAACAGCCACATGCAAACTATAACTTTAGAACTCAGTCTGAATGGGGTTGATGTTTGTGTCTTCAAGGGAGTTATAAATGCAGGTTTTTGCTTGTAGCTGTTTTGAGGAGAATTGAATAGGAACTTGCATCTAAAACGTTTTTATTCCTAACCTTGGAACTATTGCCAGATGCCATACTGAATCTCTTTTAGCTGGAGTGGGAATTGAATGTGATTGCAAAGGTGCAACTGTGTAATGGCTTTATGAAGATCAGGAAGAGCTAGTAAGTAGGTTGCAGGGGTCCCTCTTGAGATCTGCCTGGTTACTGTCAGCCATTTGTGATGGCCTTGAGCAAACTGCTAAGCTGGGTAAAAATCCTGTGCAAGACAGTATTTCCAAGAGTATGTTAGCTAGTGCAGACAAATCGGATCTTAAATGTTGTTAATGTGTATGGGATTTTCAGAAAGATGTCTAGTCTTGATAACAGGGCAAAAGTCCAGGACAGATAACTAACTAGCATTTTCATCTCTCTAAGTCATTTGCATGCTGTCTTAGTTGAACACATTCATCATCTTCTTCCTTGCCGTCTAGTACTGTGTATGCTATTCAGTTGTACCTGTCACAACAAACCAATTAAGGCTGGCTTGCTTTGTTTTTTAAAGCTTTTTCTCAAATGCCCCAAGTACGGCAGTGTGCTCTTGGCTGATTTGCCAATTTGCTTTACTTCATTCTTGGTTACCTCTTGTAAATCACTTGGAAATTATCTGGGTATTACAAATTAGAAACCTTTAGGTGAGGTAGGTTGTTTGGTACTCAGAAGGCAGAAATAATCTTGCTCTTTGACTTCCACTGGGAGCAGGCAGTCAGGGAAATGACACTTAGTCTAAGGTGTGGAGGAGGAACTGTTGCTGCATTATTCCAACGCCTTTTCAGGACCTCCATTCACGTCCCTGGGTTTGGATGAAAGTATGCTTGGAAAAATGTGATGATGAATCACCCTGGAAAGAAGTAAAGTTAGACCAAGCAGGAATTGCTGGCTTTTTGAAGAGATTTCTGTGATACTGGGTGCTGAGTGCCCTGTCTCACTGTTAAGTAAATTCCCCCAAATAACCTTGGTGCTGTAACACATAGGAACTCTGTGTAAAGCAAGTAAAAATGTACTGGATTGGTGAGGAGGTTACAGGGAAATTTTCTAGAGGCATTGCTTTTTTTGAAGCAAACTTTAGAAAATTAGTTTTCATACCTTCTTTTATCTTAAAAGGTGCTAAATAGTCAGGTCTTTGAGGATTTCTGAACATTGAGCAGAGGAGAATTTTACTTCTGCCACTGCAGCTGATGCTCAGCTGTACAAATAATCTTAGAAATTATTCTCATATCTAAAGAATGAGAAGTATGAGAAGTGATGTGATTTACATAAACACCTAGATTGGGAGGTCAGTTCACCCACTCACATCAGTGACAGTGAGGTGTCTAATCTAGTTGAGTTTTCTTGCAACCATTTATCTGTAGGCCTGTAAATGTCTCTAGGCTTGGCCATTACTCAGATATTTTGTAACATGGGCAAGTGTAGGCAGTAAAATGCGCAAGTCCTTCACAGAAGTCTCTCTAGCCTGCTTGAGTTTAAATAACATGCCAACCTTAAGCAAACTGAAAGGAATAAATAAATAAAAGGCTGCTGGTGCCTCTAAACAGTGATGGAATGAAATTGCTCCTGAAGATGCTGACTACCACCCCTCATCTGTCCATTAGCTTACACTGCACAGCAGATACTCTCATTGCTTGGGGACCATGCTGGCTGACAACTGCAAGCGCAGAAAGACATGGAGGGATGGTGGCTTTTGTAGGAAACTGTCTAGCATCAAAGATGTAGGATTTCAGTTGTGTGCTTTCCTGCAGGACTCTTACATGAAAACATTATAATAGCACCTTACTGGCTTTTGTGAAAATAGGAGAAGCTGCTGGATGCCTGGCTTATGTCAGAGATGCTTTGTGGCTTGTATGGGTGAAGAACCAGTGCTGAGACTCTGCACTGACTTCTGTGGCCTCCCTCTTGGGTAATCTGTTGCATCTTCATCTGCTGGAGTAGGGTGCTGGGTTGCTAGTGTCACTTCTACAGAGGCAGTTGGCCCAGCTGGTTGTATTGGACTGCATGTGCCTGTGTGTGCTGTCAGCTGAGTGCTTTCAAGGTGCTGGATTGAACCAAAATAGTCACGTACTGAGATAATGTCATAGCTTGCAAATCGAGTTTAAGGAGAACTGGAAATGCTGACCAATTGGAGAGGGAGCACTGGTAGTAAAAGCACTCCTAACTTGTTACCCTGTTACGCAGGATAATGCTGTTAATGCTAGACAATTGTAGCAGACTGGAAGCGATAGGGAATGGCAGAGGAACTTAGTAGATTAAGGAAAGGCCAATGATCATATGAGGGGTAAGAAGGCCTGAGAAAAGCGTGTGGTGGTTACTGGGAATCATAAAGAATGTGACTTATTACCAGAGTATCTTTTCTATTGAAAAAGGTTTTGGAAAATGAAAATGCATCTTGTAAAATGAAGTTAAGGACAACTTTCATCCTTTTCATGTCAGTACTTTGCATGGCAGTGACATGAGGAAGATGCGATGTTTGAACTGTGATGGTGAACTTGAATATGAAATGTTATGCTTTGGCAGCGAATAACTAGAAAGCAATTGATGTTGATCTGTACTCGCAAAACTGTGGTATCCCTGACAAGGGCATTTGTTCCTTGTTGAAACTGTGTGAAGCTCTCTGTTGTACCTCTTGTGTTAGTGTGTGGTCAGCTCTCTTCCTGTAAACTGAAACTAGCAGTTAAGTTGCAAGAAAGTAGTTCTCATAGTGTTTTTGACTTGGCATTCACTGTAAAATGAATGCTAAAATACATAGGGTCATGAAAGAAACTCTGGAAAAACATATTTCAGTGATTCAGTAATTGAAGATGCAGAACAATTGCATGACTTACTGAGCAAACCTTTCTGTGGCCTGAACTCGGAAGAGTGTATGGAGTAGGTAGTCATAGCTGGAATGGTACTGCAGGTTCCTTCTCAGTGATCACAGTTCAGGTGGGGAGAGTAGGAAAAAGAGGAGAAAAACGTACAGTATTTCAGAGGATGTATCGGTTTTGCCAAAGATCAGCAGCCATGAATACATATAGGAAGGATGAGGGTTACTGTTGAAATATGTATTTTTTTCTTTTTTTTAGCTGTAGGAGTTAATTTTTAGTTTAAGAAGGATAAACAGGTTGGAACCAAGTCAAATTGGAAGTCTAGATGGGGTTCCTTTTGGTATATTGTGGTTTTGTTGCATGAACATGTAGATGGGAAGGGAAAGGATAGGAAAAACACAATTGCTGCATAAACTGGTAGTCCTGAAAACATGTATTCCACACTCATGTTGGTGTGTTACACTGAAGGGCTGAGATGCAGCTGGTGTTTGTTAAATGCAAAATGATATCAAGTGAAAAATGACTGTCTTCTATGAGAGTTTGGCTAGGGAAGAAGAGTAAATGGATGAAGATACGGTAGAGTTGTGGACTGAGAAGGTATAAGGACTCTATATATCAAAACTGTGAGGAAGCTGCCGTTACTTCCTGCAGTTGTTTTTGTGCTGGTTGGATAATGACAAGCAAAAGTTTGTGGACCTGATCTGGTTGTCATAACAGATTAAATAACACTTAAATAAAGTTTAATTTTATTTTAAAAACCTAATTTCTTGTGTGCAATTTTAATTGTGGCTGCTGGGCTGTGTGGTTTTTTTGGGGGGTGTTGTGTTTTTCTGTGTGTGGGGTTTGGTTTTGTTGTTTGGGGGTTTTTTAGTAGCATATACTGAGTTTGCTGCTTCAGGAGCACTAAAAAAGTTTACCACTACTTAGATGTGTCATTGTAGTCAAGCCTTTTGGCATCAAACCAAAAGAAGATATGAAATCTCTTCACAAGTGCAACTGATGGCAGTTGGGATGATGGTATGGGCAAAGCAAGAAAAATACTCCTACAGTTTCTGTGTTTGTGGAAGGACATGTGAGTTTTGCAGATTTAATGGTGAAATAAGGAAACACAGTTACAACGGTGAAAACATATACATCTGTAAATCATGTGTGCATTAACTGAGGAAATGACTGTGGTACTTATAGTAATGGAATTTGTATCAGGAAGGAGTAAGAGTTAACTTAAGACTGATCCATGTGAATTCTTTTATAAGGATGGTGTTTTAGACACAGTGTGTCCTGTACTGCAGGAATGATAACTTCTTACGTTCCTGCTATACAGTGTGTTTTCCTCCAGAAAGGGAGAAATCACATGATTGAAAAGGAAAAGAGCCAACTGAATTTTAATCTGAGAACCATCAGCTTCTCTAGTACAAACAGGTTAGCCATGTGCTCCTACTGCAGATGACATGCTTTTTCTAATGTAGATGACATCCTTTTGACATTGTTTTATGTAACACAGAAAAGGGCATTTAACTAATAAGAGAGCAAGTGTGGAGTTACCTATGGCATTTTCTCAGTGCTGTGTATGTTCATACTTTGGGAATCACTTGCCTGGCAAGATTTGTAGCTAGTTAGGCAGGAGGTCTGATAGTAATTTTTTGAATCGGAAGCAACATTCCTGGAAAGAAGATATTATTGAATTCAGAAGTTACAGCAGGAAAGTCCAGGAAGTAAATGCAGCATAGATCTTGTGATAGAAGGAGGAGCCAAAGGTTTCTGTGGTATTATCAATGTTTTCTTGAAATATTAAAGTCCCCTTAATCACCCGAAAACACTCAAACTTGGTACTGTCCAAAATTATACTTGTTTGATTTAAAAAAAAAAAAAAAAAATCCACGTGGCTAGCCAAAGAACTGGGTTTAAGCACTCTAGAATCTCTTTAAAATCATCTCTTGTTGTGGATTCTTTGTTGTACATAGGTCATTAAGCAGCTATATGTGGGCTGATTAACTAAAAATATCTACTGAGTACCTGAAGAGGAGGCATGGAATACCACAGTTTTAATCACATTACTCTAAGGGTTTTGATCTCCTGCACACAAAAGAATACCCTAGTTGTAACTGCACGGCAACAGTTAACACGTTTCTGCTAGTGCTGTCAGCATTCCTGCTGACATCAGTGATATGTAAAGCAGTAAACAGAAAGCAGCCATGACTGTTCTTCCTCTAGTAGGGGGAATCAAAATAAAATGCAAGTCAGATGGAGAGCAGCGAAGATGGTAAGAAACTGTAAACTGTTCAGAAAAGTTGTTGATGTAGAAAAGTGACTCTGAAAATGTTTAAATGTTCAGGTAAATACAGCATTGTGTTTGCAGATCTTTCTGGAGAGAAGGATCCTGTTTGTAACTCATATAGCAATGCTTCAAAGTAATCTGGCATTTATAAGAATTTAAGAAAAATAAGAAATTAACTGTGTTACCTTTTTATTCTGGATTTTCTTTGCTATAGTTAATTAAGAATGACTGTACAAGTTCTCAAAAACATGAAATTCTGGATGCATTTTATTCTGAGTTACTGTTTTTAATAGAAACTGAGCAATTGAGTCCTGAGACTTGCTGTAATCATTTATAAAGAAGTTTATGTTAAGGCATTGACTTATACCAATCCTAGAATGAATGTGAATATTGTTGCCATTATTTTGTAAGTATTGATATGTTAGAGGGAATTCTAAAAGGAGACTTCAGTGCTTTCTAAAGGGTTCATATAGTAGGTTGAAAATAACTACTTCTTTAAAAGATGTTTTCATTCTCAGAGAACTTAAATCAGCTCTTGTAAACACAGAGAATGGTATTTAAAATGCCAGTCAGAGCAAGCTATCTGGCATCAGAAGCTCCTTTTTGGGCGAGAAGAGTGCAAGGGCAAGAAGTGAATACACGCTGTAACTTTGTAAACTACATACCTATGTGAACATTTCTCCCTCTAATGGGGTTTTGTGTTGTGATGTAACTGTTGATGTATCACGGAAGAAATGAATACTACTCTCCCTTCCCTTCCAGACAATCGAAGGAAAGTTGAACCGCCTCTTGGAGGTCATGATCCTCGAACAGCTGTTCAGTTACGAAGCCTCAGCACTGTTTTAAAGCGTCTCAAAGAAATCATGGAGGGGAAGAGCCAGGTACTACTTCTGAGGGATTTGCAGGCCAAACTATCTAGAAACTGAACTGTTTACTGGGCTTTTCTGAGCTTCATTTTTAGATGTATCATGGGGATTTTTTTCAGATGTTTGAAGGATGAGTGAATAAACTAAAAAATTATTGTGTGCGTGCAGGGGAAACAATTTAAGTTGATGCTGGCTTTTGACATGTCAAACGTGTCATATTGGGGGAGTGAAATGTTGCAGTTGCTCAGCTTCTTGAACTTGGACCAGACACTCTCATTTTAGACTCCTTCCCACTTCTGTATTACCTAATCTGGTATCACTTGATGGTTTTTTCCCTTGCTAACCGTAAGCAGGTGAAACACACTTACTGTCACAAATAGTAATGCGAATTCTGAGGATGAATTAAATCTGCTACTTACTATGGTAATGATTGGTCACAATATTTGCTTCAAAGGCTTGTCCTACTAATCAATTTTGATTTGGCTGGATAAGGGTCTGGTGGTTGCGATTGACTTGCTGATTTCACCTCCCTCTGCTGTGTTGGACCATGCCTTTAAGAGGAGGATCTAGCTGACAAAAGAAGCTACAACTATTTATAAGTGATGATATAAATAGCTGTGTCTGGGAGCAAGACACAAACAGGCAAAAGTACATTTAATTAAACTGAATGAAGAGGAAAAAGGCTTTTGGCTTGGGGTAGCTGTCGTGGTTTAACCCCAGCCAACAACTAAGCACCATGCAGCCGCTCACTCACACCCCTCCCCGTGCCTCCCCCTTCCC